CGGGACGCGCCGGGCCCCGAGGGCGCGGGTCCCCCTTGTCCTCGTTGCGAACGGAGCAGAGCGGGGCCGTCGTGACGGGTGGCGACCACAGCTGCCCCGGGAGGCTGACAGGGCTGTGCAGATACACGAAATCCACGGAGTAGACAAAATCTGCCATTGTCTTTCCAAAATTATCGCTAGTTATTTTAATTTTTACTTAATACAGCCTTGGATGACAGTGCCTGTACCTAGATCTCCTGAACTGTGTTGAAATGTTGTTATTCTTAGACTGGCTGGCATTTTTATCACCTTACTTATGTCATAATTACTAAATCAGCAGGCAGTGACACACAGCATTTCAAAAGGGTCGCTGGATTGCAGGTAAAAATCTGCTCAGTGCACCAAGTGCTATGTGAATTACTTTAAAATATATCACACGCACTCAACTAGATATTACTCAGCTCAGCAAGTTCAAAGCGGCTTTTATTACATGAACTAATAGCGCAATTGCTGAAATTTACACTGAAATAGGGACATTTTGTTTGCATTAAAGGGCAGTTTCAAAGGCCTTGGTCCTGCAAGTTTCTTGAGTGTTGTGCTCGCCAAATCCAGTGTAACCACTGATGCGAACTACGTTAAGTATTGCAGTACCTCATTATATCTTTGTGTAATCTTCACTTTATACTGCAATACCGCAGTGAAGAAATAAATGTTAACCAAAAAACATAAAAATAAGGAATAAAATGTGATACACCTTTCAAAAGAAACAAAACAAAACAGAAACCCAACCCTGTGAATAGTTTACCCTGCTGCATGTAGCCATATGTACTGCATGTTACTCCTCCCATCTAATCCTCCCATCTGTTCCTAGAGACCCTTAAATGAGTGACACTGATTACACAAGAAGCTTCATTCGTATGCTCTGTAGAAACATTTTATTACGGTACCAGCACAACAGACTAATGAGACTAATATGAAGAAGAGAAATGAGCAGCAACTTTCTTGTCAATGAGTAGAAACTTTAGAGAATGGAAATAACAACTTGTTTTGACAACAGTGAAAATAAGTACAGGGAAATTTTAGCTGCAGTTAATTGCCCAGGTGTTGATTTTAGGTTTGCTTAGAGGGCATGCTGTGCTTAAAACTGTTCCAAGATTTGTGCCACTGTATGCCACAGGTCTAAGAGAATTTGGCTAGCTTAGGAGGCCCAGACAGTTAACTCCATGATTTTTCTGTGGTATAATAGGAACACTATAAAGGCTTTTTATACTACTGTCATTCCCATGGCTAGCTTATTACAGGAAAAACACATGGCCTAAATATTCTTGTGCCATGCCGATTTCTGACTGGTTTCAGATTCTTGTGGCTGTTTGCAACCTTTGTGAATTAGAATAACCTCAATGTTTGCTAAATTTAGCATGAGGTAAGTTCTGGCCCTGTACCAGAGTAACCTAGGATCATGACAGCTTTGTGTTCTTCCTCTAAGATCTGAACTAACTTCTTATTCGAATCAGTATCAATAGTGAAAAGCAGCATGGAGAGTAAGGCTTTTTTTTTTTTGATTGAAACTTAGTTTGCTTGAAAATTTATGTGGCAAATAAAATAAAGCGCCCAACTGAATTTAGAAAGTTACGAAAAATCACATCATATAAAGCAGCCAGAAACAGTGCAGTTAATAGCATAGTCATATGAACAGGCCCTGAAGTCTTGTTTAGGTATGAATAACAATTCCTTTAAACAATTTAACTGTGCACATCAAGCCATGATGGCTTTAGACTTGTAACTATTCCCTTTTAATAACAGTGTGGCTTATAATATTGGCTTTTACCGCTCAGTCATGGAAGTTAATCAGAGGAAGTTATGAAGTAACATATTCATGCATTCTTTTGTAGGCACAAAGGAGACTGCATTTATCTATGCAGTGACAGCAGCAGGCCTGGTGCACTCTGTGACACGATCATGCAGCGCAGGAAACATGACCGAGTGCTCCTGTGATACCAACCTGCAGACCGGCGGCTCGGCCAGTGAGGGCTGGCACTGGGGCGGCTGCTCGGATGATATCCACTATGGAATGTCGTTCAGCAGAAAGTTCTTGGATGTGCCTCTCAAGAACATAACGGGCAAGAATGGGAGCGGATTGGCAGCAATGAACCTGCACAATAATGAGGCTGGGAGGCAGGTATGTATTACCGTTTCAAGAAATGGGAGCAATTGCCTGTTAGGTTTCGTTGCTGAAATGGCATTAACCAAATGAGGCCTGTCCCTGACGGCAGGTACGAATGGGGCCAATGGCAAGAACTACACTAAGACCTTCAAAGTAAACGTGTTCAAAGCAGAAATAAAAGCTATTTTTGAGTAACATGCTTCACAGTTTATAATAAAATCCACAAAATAAGAATTAGATCCGGAATACTAGTCACAGTAATCTCCAATATCTATTCTTAACCAATATCAACTTTATCTAGTATCTTCATCACAATGATGCATGAGGATTTTTTTCTGTTATTATCTGTTATGTTCCGTTATTATCATCAGCTGCATTTTTAATTCTCTCTGAGTGAGCAGACACACTTGACATCAAGCATCATTACCCGATTGGGAACCACAGCCTGGAATCATCTTCTGAGAGTAGAAGGCAGAAACATTCAAAGAATGTTTCTAGATTTAACCTTTCTTTTGAAAGATGGGATAGAAATGCCATTCCCTTTTTAAAGTAGCCTGCTAGTTAGGGTGCTCATCAGAGAAGTGAGAGGAGGCTTGCTTCAGATAGGTGTTCTTTAGTCGAAGACAATTCAAACCTACAGTCGCAGAGGAAATGTTCTTATCATCCAGTGGTAGGGTGGGGGTGGATGAAGCTAGATTCCCGTGTGCCATTCTTCTGCAGAAGATGAAGACAGGACCAATAAATGGGGACAGGAACAGCCGATACAGAGAACTGTGACTCTGTAATCTGGTGACTACAGCCTGCATCTGGAATGGCAGAGACTTGGATTCTGGTTCTTTAAAATTAGTTTCTCTGCTTTACCTCATGAGTTTTTAACCTCATAAGTGTTTATTGTCTCTCTGTGGCCCAGTAAATCTGCTCTGTGACACAGCTATAACTGAAGAGAAGAAAAGTGGACTCTCTGGTTTTGGCCTCATTTTGGATCATGCATGCTGGACCCCATTTTAACTCTGTAATTTCCTGTAGCCAGGAGCAGCATCAGTGGGTTTTACTGAAAAGAACTTTCCTGTCATCTGTAGACTGGGAATAGCCATATTAGTCAATCATATCATAAGAAGAGCCAAGGTAGTACCATTGCAACATATTTTAAAATAAGCCTATTTTCATGGTTTGCAAGCAGATATAATATATTTAACTAAGTAATATAGTGGGAAAAGTAGAAAATCTTTCAGATGCACAAGCCTTTTTTTAAGCCTGAAATAGAAGAAGCAAACTTTAAAATTAAGTATATGATGAGAACATCAGTATTATTAGATTAATCGGTCAGTTAAATCATGTCCAAGAAAAGACAGTGGTATTGTGTAGTAGGGGATGTTAATAAGGGAAACAGGAGAGAAATTTGAAAAGCAAGAGGTTATTTATTGCATTTGTAGAGGGAGATACTTGGGGAGGAGTCTATACTCTCCACAAAATAGTATGTCTTCAAGTTCATGATTTTTTATACACAGTACAGATATGAATTTTTATTTTAATTCCCGTATTTGTCATTAGAATGTGTTACATACACACTGAGACTCCTATCATACTACTCGGCCAAGAGACTGAGGACAAATTCCGAATTTCTGGAAACTAGTCAGACAGGTATGAGGCAGTGCCACTTACTCAAGTTGAGGCAACAGTGAAATTGAAGGGAAGCAGACTGCCAGGCTCCTGAGGAACTTAAAAGAGAAACAAGAATGTGATTTCTGAGTTTAGGTGGCAGCTACACAGACCTTCTCCTTGATACCCTCTTCTCTCCTCTGCCTCTGGGTTGGTGTAGCTTAGCAGCAGCTATAGCTTGCTAATCTATGGTCTGTAGTGCTAGTACTCGCTTATGGTCTTCTGCACCATCCTCATGCTCATCACTCATTCCTGCATGTGCTGTGTTAAAGCTGTCTCCGGCAGGTGTGCCGGAACAGCTGCTTGGGGCCTTGCACCATGAACCATATCGGGGAACTGTGCAGCTAAGAAAATGAAAAAAACAAAAAAACCCAAGCCTACCAACCAAACAAAAATACGGACACCTCACCCAGAAAAGAAACTTCTTTTTGGTTTTATTTCTCTAAAGTTTGATCAGTTCCCTGATCTCATCTACAGTGGTCACACAGCCAGTTGCGCCCCCTATGGTATGGGGACAGGAATGACTAGCAAAGGGGAGGCATACGTTCAGCTGGTACTGCAGCCAAAGATAGCATAGTTACGTATTTTCAAACAGTGAGCTAAAGGTGCAAGTCGTTGAAGGATGTAGTTAAGTGAGGCATCATTTTCCTTGAATAGTACTTTTGACAGGATCCAAGTTATCTTAGATCCAAGTTATATGGATGGAAATGTGAATTCTGGGTTTGGCATTCACATCCTTAATTTGATATAGCTGTAGGATCTTCCATTACTATTCACATTGATTGGTACCTCTTACTATAAATAGCTTCACGAACTTGATGCTTGTGACTAGGCTGTCAATCATTGTGAATGTAATAGGATCTGGCCCAACAGAAACCTTAAGGTCCTGAGGACCTTTCAGGATTTCAGGTTTTTCACAATACTGAGCTGTGCAACAAAGCTCTGGAAGTACACTGTCACCAGCTCATTCGGTGCATGCATGGTATAAATGCTTGTTCCTTTTTCATGACACTTTACTTTTTCTTTTTTTCAAAAAAAAATGCACTTCAAGCTTGAAGGACCCAAACATCTTTAGCTACACTGGTTTTGCAGTAATGGTGTATTTGTTGCTCATAATCTTGCAAGAAAATATGCAGAGCATTTAGTACAGCTTCCACGCATAAATATTTTGTGACTTAATGGCAAGCTGTAGGATAAAGTAAACATTTTTACTATTGTCAAGAGTGAAGGGGAATGTTTATTGTTGGTAGTTGGGATTTCTAACAACAATATTAGCTGAAGTAAAGTTTAGGAGAGTTCTTGATTTTTGTGGTTTAAAAATCCTTAACTAGAAGATGTTGGGAAAAGTTGACCTTTGTATCTTGGAGCTTACAAGAAGGATGTTTGGCAATATATTTTGGAGTCCTGTGACCTTTTTATAATGAATACTATCATGTTCCTGATTCTATTTTGTGAGAACAGTCTTCCAGGGACAGTATTTCTGTGTTTGTTTGGAGTAGCTAATGGCACTGGTATGTAGAGAATTCTCTTGTTCCTTTCTTATTTCCATATAAAACCTTATTTTATACTTCTACATTTCATAGTTAAATCTTCCACTTAAACACAAGAAAACACTTCTTTACTGTGAGGGTGGTTAAATACTGGAACAGGTTGCTCGGAGAGGTTGTGGAGTCTCCATTCTTGGAGGTATTCAAAACCTAACTGGACCTGGTTCTGGGCAACATGCTCTAGGTGACCCTGCTTGAGCAGGGCAGTTGGACCAGGTGATGCCTTGCAAAGGGACCAGAGGTCCCTTGCAAACCCAGCTATTCTATGATTCTGTAAAATCCAAGCTATATCAATTTTGAAACAGTAAGGATCCTTTGACTGAGTTGACCACAGTTTAGGAAACTAGCCGGAACCTCGGGAGATCCAGATTTCTTTCCTTCTTCTGCCCAGGATAAATGGTCATCATCCTTGGTAAAAGGGCTTTGGCAATGTAATGTTCAGTGTAGTTAGATGTGCATATCTGAGTTGGCTCCTTATATATAAGGGTGAAGGTGGTCAGGCGCTAGCACTGAGAGGCTCAGCAGCCAGGGTACTGAGCAGAACACCTAAATCCATGGTAGGACAGGCTGAAGAGAAAGGTCTCTCTAAAGCTCTATTTTACTTCTGGATTTGGACATCCTCAGGTTGCAGTCAAATGCCCCTGTGAAACTGATCCAACACCCTAAACTTTACCAGATGTTTGGGAATTTGTTCATTAAAGCTCACATGACAGCTTGAGCTCCAGGGCCGTGTTTTGTGATCAGCCAAAGCAACATATCAGCTCCCAGTGCCGTTGGTAGAGACAGGCCAAAATGCGTTGGAGTCCAACCTGAAAACTTGCTTTGTTAATTCTAGCAGCTGGCTAGCAATAGCCTGGGGTCTTGCACAGTTGTGATGACACCATAAATCATTTTAAAACAGATTGTAACAAAACCTCATAGAAGTTTGAGCAACACAGAATAAGAAGACAAATATTTGTAACTGCTGTGGACAATCTCAACCACACTCAACCGCATTTACAGTGCTTGCATTGATCTGATCTTACATGAACATGTTTACTGCTAACATATACTGGATTTTTATATTTTGATGCCAACTTAAGATTCCAACATAAGTTCTTGCTCTTGTTTAGAAACTCTGCCTCCATTTGGTTTTCATTAATTTCATCCTCAGAGAAAGACTCTGAGCGTCATCTGCTAGGCTACTTGCCCACATCAAAATAACTCACTCTTAACACCTAATAGACACATCCAGTGCTCCCCTAGACATATTCCGTATCATTCTGCTTCATCCAGATTTTACAGTGCCTGATTCTAGCAGGCTTGGAAGTACATTTTTTTCCCAAAACAACGTTATGTCTTTTTCCCCTGTTGTTTCTTCCCTAATTAGTACCCTGGCATACTGCAGTGAAAGCAAGCGTTACATCTGTATGACTTATAACACAAGTAGTTTCAAACTACTTTGAGATTCTAGTTACTTACTATGATACAAATAAATAGTAATAGAAAGTGGAAAATATTATTAAATCCATTCTGTTTGTAAATTGTGTATAATATTTACATTCCTGCAATGTGTTTCCATTTTCTTTGTCATTTTATTGACTCATCTGTATTCTAACAAAGACTTTCTATCCTTGGATCTCAAATTCTCGTTTGCCTCAATCAATATTATGCCTTAATGATGCAATTCTGGCTCCTCAGTCATTTCCTTATTGATAGATTCTGAAGATACGATCATGAGGTCATATCTCTCTATTAAGGAGAAACTAGGCTGTGAAGGAGAGAAGACGAGTATCTGCAAGAATTATTGCCAATTGATTTGCCACTGAAAAGAGTCTGTATGTACTCTGGGGAGAGGGTCTGCTTGGTCCAGTATTCTTATTTCTTCCAGGATAGGGAAAAACCTCCAGTCCCAAGTGCAGTCCAGAGGACTTGAAATATCTTATGCTTTATTTCACCAGATGTAGTTTTTAAAGGCTAATGGCTATTTTAGGTTAGGGCATACATTTGCTATTTCTTGCTAATGTTCTTTAAATGCTTTTCTTGTTTGTCTTTCATGGTAACCTCTACCAACAAATAAATGCTATTCATTCACCAAAGAAGATGTGACTCCAAGCAAACACTTTGGTCATGTGTATTTTTACTAATGTTTGTCAAGTTATATGCAGATACCAGCTTGGGCTTGTGTCAATATCTGCCAGGCAGAACGTGCCAGGAGGCCTCCATTCCCACTGAAATCCATGGATTTAACCACGTTGGGCTGAGTCTCAAACTTCAGTCACCATATTTACCATGATGAAAAGTCCCACTATAAAACATAGGGTAGAAACAACCCATTTTATCTGCTCCTTGCCTTGACTAGCTCTGAAACTTTGAGGATGACATTTGTACTGTCTGAGATACAAATAAGCAGCCTGGGATTCTTTGAGTTTATTTTTGGTCATGGATAACAGCAGTGGGTCAGTGGGGCTCTGTAGGATTTCAGGGCTTTGTTCTCGTTGCAGATTCAGGACTTAAGAACAGGCACCAATGACACTACTTTCTCTAGGAAAACCAGAGGAGCATGTTAGATGCCTTTATTTTCTGGGCTTTTTTTTCTTTCCTTTTTATAAATGGCAGTTTGAGGAAGATGTAGATTGACACTGTTAAATATTTGTGAAGGTTGTGGAGGAAGTGAATGTTTAGAGTGAATTTTAATAAACAATGTGAAGTTGTGTCTTCTTTGCCTCCCCCCACTTAGTGGGAAGTAGTTGTTCATCCGTAGAGGAATAATTTGCATCTGTATTGGTCTTGCTGTATGAGAAGTTTCAAGAGAAACTTGCTCTTACTATTAGTTCATTTAAAATTCAGTCTTTCTGTTACATTCCCCAAAAGCTGATCCTTTAAAACAATCGCATCCATATATAAGTTCATGATTGCCATTATTGTGGAAATAAAATATGAGGGAAAAGTTAGCTGAAATGGAAGACTGCAGCATGAACTTTCCACACCATTAAACAATGGCCTATATGAATCTGCAAGATGACTACAAAGATGTGGTACAGTCAATGGAAAGGTAAAATGAAAAATGATTTTATGATACCTTGTCCTTTTGCTATATTTGTGCATGTGATGGTTTTTTTTTTTTTATAGACTTTTCCAGAGTATAATGTGAGATGTGCCACAAGTCCAACTGTGCAATTGTATACTGTGAACTTTTGAGACGGAAGCATTGCATTCATTGTCTGCTGACTATTTGAGTTGCAGTCCCAGATAGAGAAAGTTACTGCTTGTTTACAGATTCCAGTTCTTTGGGGCTTGCTCTGATATAAACTGTGTCAAATGTTTTAAAAGCTTAATGCAGGCTGCAGGCTGCTTGTTGGTCAGGTAGTTGTTGTTCAGTCCAGTGCTTGAATCTGCAAAGGCATTGAAACATAGTCCATCTAAGGACATTTTAATGTTGCTAATAACTGTGATAATTTTTGGTAAAATATTAAAAGTGTGAAAACTGATATCAATGCAACTATGAAAATGTGTTAAATAGAACCATTATGCAATGAAAAAACAAACTGGAAACCCATGACAGTACTAGTAAGCCTCAATTACAAAAACAAGGCTTGATCTCATAAGTGAGAAGCACCTGATTTATTCCAGAAAACCTGAATTGAAACCACCTCTGCTTAGCTCCCTCAATGGTGTTTCCTTGCAGTCCAGAGGGGTGAGCACCACTTGCTCTCTGCACCAGGACTCCCAGAGGTGGCTGGCAGGCTCTGCACTGGGATCATGCAGCACTGAGGTGCCACCTCCAGCTGTTCTTGTGGCTGTAGTCACAGACTGTATTCTGAATGCCTAGTGATCTTCATGGTGGCCTCAAGGCATGCTTAAAAGATGGTATAAACATGCCCATAAATCTCTTCCAGCTTAGGACCGATGCACCATTACCCATCCTTTCCATGATTCCCCTCCTGCTATTCCCCACAAGGAGCATTTGCATACCAGCTGTGGGTGGAGTGAGACAGGACACGTCATTTCAGGTATTTAGGAGCTTTTGGAAAGAAAAGCCAGCCAGAAATATAAGCTCCCATTATAATGACTGGATATTGCCAAGTTATGGCCATTGTAAACTGCAGGTGCTTCGCACTTCTGAAGATCAGGCTTCTCACACAGGCGGTCCAGAACTGAAAGCCTGATTCATTAAACATGTTCTCCTGCAGTCTGGCTTCCCCATCGGTGTAATGGCAACGGCAGCAGCAGCATTAAGTGCTTGGAGATGTCAGGCAGGATGCTTAATGAATGAAAGCTACCTCCAAATGTTGTTCTCATTTCGTTTTCAGGCTGTCGCAAAGCTGATGTCAGTGGATTGCCGTTGTCATGGTGTTTCTGGGTCCTGTGCTGTGAAAACTTGTTGGAAAACAATGTCCTCCTTTGAAAAGATTGGCCGTTTTTTAAAGGATAAGTATGAAAACAGCATACAGATATCAGACAGACTGAAAAAAAAATTACGCAGGAAAGAAAAAAGCCAGCGAAAAATACCAATCCAGAAGGAAGACCTGCTGTATGTAAACAAATCGCCCAATTACTGTGTAGAAGATCATAAATTGGGGATCCCTGGAACTCAGGGAAGGGAATGCAATCGCACATCAGAGGGGCCTGATGGCTGCAACCTCCTCTGCTGTGGGCGCGGATACAACACTCATGTTGTCAGACATGTGGAGAGATGTGAATGCAAGTTTGTCTGGTGCTGCTATGTACGCTGCCGAAGGTGTGAGACCATGACTGACGTGCATACCTGCAAGTGAGATTAAGTACAGAAAGCACAGCCGAATCATCTTGCACTGTTTTGTACAGATAACTGCCACACAGGCAGTAATTATTCTTACCATGTGGGAGTACAGGGGATCAGCCTCAGGGGGGACGCGTACTGCCAAATAAAGGGTAGTCTAAACATTTTGGCTTATGAAAGAGCAATTAAGTGAATAGCAGCCTGCACACACAGCTAGCTAAAACAGTGAAGAAAGATTTCCGATGACACATTTGAATATGTAGCTCCATGACTAGGGAGAGATCTAAACTTTCCAAGTCTTTAACAACCACAACATGGTGAAGATCAAGGTGGTTGGTACGTACAGTGGAGAAAACTCAAGATCTTGTTAGCCAGAGACTGAAGAGTCAAGAGGGCATGTAAGACTTGTTAGATATAATCCTTACTTCCATATTTTTAAGAGTGGGACTAGATGGATCCACTAGATGGTTCATTTCTGCAGGCTGAAAAAAAAAAAAAAAGATGGAATGTCGTGCTGTTAACCATGAAGCATTTGCTTAGCATCTGCTTCTTGTACAGACAGCCTTCTGCATAATGTAAAGAAAAGGATCTGGTACTCAGAAATGAGTGTGAACACAGTTGAGCGCTGGCCTGGATGGAAGTGATGGTCCATTCAGGTGGAGCAAACGTTGCCCAGAAAAGAGGGGCTACTGCACAGTTTGGTGAATATGAATGGTATCCCAAATAGCAAATTTTAAAGATTTTTTTTTATAGGATGTCTTTCAAATGCACAAAGAACAGGTCTGAGGAGAGACAGAAACTTGGTATCGGAAGGAAATAAAATCCCTTGCAGGCATTTCCTTAGTATCTGAATGCACATTTTGCTAGTCAGCGAACTTTCCCCCCACTACTGGACTGTGTATAATAGAAACTGCCGTGTTCAACCATCTTGATGGTGATCACCATCATTTTCATAGTTTCCCTCCACATGCCATACAAGATTCATCCCAAAGAAATTTGTCATTAAGTGAAAGAAATTTTAAAACATGAATTGCTTTCTCTTTCATATAAGAGCAGAAGCTAGAACATTCACTAGATTGCATCCCAACTAATCATACTTATAAAATAAGTTCAATGCACAATGTAATTTATGGATTGGCTCACACTACTAAAATATTTAAACTGTTATTGATAATATTTTCTCCTTCCCCCATGTTGGCTCAATTTTATTTTACATCTATGAAATGTTGTTTATTTTTATGCAATGATTTAAAGCCTGGCTTAAAAAGCATCACGTGAAAGGATTTCTGTTGTTTAATTGTGCAAAGACATATTTTTGATAAGACAAGAAAGTTTATATTTTGTAAATATTTAAATTATGCAAGTTATGTAAAAGGTTCCCAGAACTAATGTGATAAGATTACAGCCTTTGACATTTACTAGTTAGATCTTTGTTACTATTGTAGCAACATTTAATTGATTTTTATTGCATGTGCAGGGGGAAATTATTCAGACTATTACATAAATTTTTCTTACCATCAAGGTGGTTTTAACTATTGCAACTAATACACTTACTGTGACACAGTGATGAGAAACACTTATCTTAATTTTCTAAATGATCAATTAATTAGTATTCTACATATATTTTCTATTCTTCTAAATTTGTTTTACATACAGTGAATTTCTGGCTCCAGTGGTCAGTGGCAGAACTCCAGTTGACACTAAGAGAACTAGGGTTGCATCCATGCACACGCTCCATGCTGGCAGTCAGTTTTTAGAAAGAAACCAGCTTAGACATTTTGGTTAATGTTTTCAAAGTTACTTGGAGGAATACATTTCCTAATTTTCATTAATTTCCCCATGAAAGATGGTGATCCTGTGTCAATCTTCATTACAAGTTTAGGTTGGGAAGAATCAAACAAAAACTTCTGTGTTTTCTGTACTCTGCTGTCTTATGTGGAGTATCTTAGGAACACCAATTCAGTGAGCAAGAAGTCCTTTACCTGTCGGTTCCTTTTTGGACCATTCCTCCACATTTGGCCAATCTGTCTCTGTTGACCAAGCAAGATGAATATTCTCAGGCCACGGCATGTGCCATCTCTGGGAAAGATGCTTATCATCCCAGTAGCTACCACAGGAGGAGTCTGTAACCTCCCTGTGAAAGCCTGAGTGGTAAGAACATCTTCTGGTAGAAGTCCGCAAAGGGAGAGAGCTCTGAGCCCCAGGGTGTTCCCACCTTTGAGCAATGAGAATGAACCCGCAGTCTCCACAGGCTGTGCCAAAGTACCTGGCACCTGAGGCTGAGCCCTCTGTTGTCAGAGGGATACGCAGAGGATTGTGGGCTCAGGCTTTGCAGAGTCAGCATGGGTTGGGATGGGCTACTGGTCACAGCAGATTTGAAGGTATTGTAGAGACTCCCTCTCCCCAACACAGGGGCTGACAAGGAAGAGGCTATTGACTTTGGAGGCGTAGCATTGTAATACTCTTATATAGGTTTGAAACTTTCTAGGAGCAAGATACATCTTTTCTCTTTAAAAATAGCTACATCTCGCTTGCTTATCTGAGATAAGCCATTAGATAGCGAGATTAGAAAAATATAGAAAGAAATTCACCGTTTGCGTGGGGGAATGGTCTTATCTCAGTCCGGTTCCTTCACCCTGTCCTTGTATGTATGGAGCAGCAGTTTGTGAAAAGTAGCAAACCTATGAAAAAAATGCCACAACTTTACTTTTTGAAGAAAGGATAATTGTAACCTCTTCTTAAAGTGAAAATGATATCTGCCTATTTGAAAACAGAAATGAGTGCAAATTGGTTGTGTAAGTTGTATCGAGTAAAGTGCTGACATACTCAGAGGAGTTACTGCATTACAGTTGGTCGTTTTGATCTACGTGCTATTCCGTGCATGCATCAGTAACTAAAGAACAGCATCTTTTTCTTGCCTGTTGGAGGCTGCTCGTCAAAGGATGTGTGTTAAATGGAGAACGCCTCCATTGCTATCAAAATGTCTCTGTTCTGGGCAGCACTTTTCGGTGAATGACAAGTATGTGAAACGCGTAAAGTAAACAGCAACAATTAGGACTATTCATTCAAAGGAAACAATTTCTGAATGAGCTGAGATGCTTGACTTCATTGAAGGATGAACTTTCATGAGATAGCAAACTTGATTTTAGGGAAGTTCATCATAGACCAAAATTGTCATGGCTATGTCATGTAAAGTGCTGAAACAGTACCAACTCAGTCCGGTGGCTAAAGTTTGTTAAAAAAAAACAGGTAGAAGGATCATTCCACTGGGGCAAACTTTGTGCCAAATGAGGCATTTTCTGTCTGAGCCCCTCTAACTTAACATATGTCAGGTGTCACTTGCCCTCTTGTCTATAAGGATAAAGCCATTTTGAAATATGTTGAAGTATGAGGATGAAATAAACACTACTTTTGTTCTGGATAACCTGCAAAAATCATAATTGTGAATCCTTTCCTGACTGTACCCAGTTTGTCCTGCCGGCCAATCTGGAATGCCCCAGCTCAGTTACAGTGAACATGGAACCATGATTTTATTGTACATTTCAGGCATGGATTTTTCAATAGCAATTTTTAGAATTTTAGAGTTTTTTTATGCTTTCACAATTTCCTTTGTCAATGAATCAGCACAGGCCAAGTGCATAAATAGCCCAGATATAGCTCAGATAGATAACAATATATAACTGAGAAATAGGGATTAACACCCATACATCCACTAAGCATAACTAAGGGGGGCAGTAGTATTGCTCTGTCTATAAAATGGGGAAATTGAGGGGAAATGACTCAAAGTCACTTGCTAAAGCAGTGGCAGACCTAGGTTAAAAAAAAAAAAAAAAGGCAGGCCTCCTTACCAATCTAATGCTTTAGCAACCTGGTCACTGCATGTTTCTCAACCCATGCAGCTTGAAAACCGTGGTTCACCAGTTACGGCCTCATAGTAACTATCCTAATAGTGACTACTGGACCTGCCCTGCTGTAAGGGGTACAGCCTAGACCCCAATAGATCCCAGTACTGTCTGCAAAGGCCAGGCACAGTTGGCTAAAATAATCAGTTGGCTAAAATTGCATTTTCTATATACGGACTCCTGTGGTTTGTATTTCTGGAAGTCAAACACACTTTTTTCCTCCACACAAATGACAAATTCATCCTGAAGGGAATGGTGTCTGTGAATTCCAAGTTAAATGAATACTATAGATAATTTATGCTAAAACATATATGACTGTCCCGGAGTCTGCTGCTACCCGGATTGACAACTGTGTAATTCCTTCCACTGATAGTTCTGTTAAATAATTAATGGTTTTCCCAGCAGAAAATGAAATGAGAATCAGTCCTCTGGCTGCTGTGTCAGCTCTGCATGGTTGAAAATGCAGTGATAGGAACATGGCACTGCAATTCATTTCACAGATACCAGATAACACTGTCGAGGGATCACTCGTCGCTGAGGCTGGAGCCAGATCCCATGGCTGGCTGCAAATGCATTGCTTTTGATGGAGGGTGGCTGTCACTTTGCTCAGCAAAGAGGTGTAATAAATGAAGCTTTTAAGGGTTAAGACAGATGGAGAGACACACGCGTAATTTAGTTGCACTAATTGAACTGGAGAGAGATCCAGGGATTTGTTACAAGGTAGTGCCACACATCTTGTGAAATCTTCTACTGAATCTGAGTCTGCAAGCACAAATATGACTTCATCATAGACTAACTGGTCAGGATCTGTCTCAGAGTTTGGCTGTTTCATTTTCATCTCAGCTTTGCTATGTTTATGACTATACAGTCTAACTTGAAAATAGCTGCACATTTTCCCTGTTAATACTTCAAAAATCACCAGCATATTGTAACTTTGATTACATTTAAATATTGAGTTATGTATGCATCAAAATATCTTTACTAAAAAGCAGAAACTTCTGATTGGCAAGACTTATATAATCATTTTCCTCACAGCTCTGAACATTTGTTTTGGGAGAGAATGAAAAACTTTTCATGACTTATTTCTTTTTTCTAGAGAAAAGCATGACACTATCCTACGGGTTAAAAAAGAATGCAGTATTTTCAATGATAGGATGATCGTTGTGTCTCCTGTCAGAAGCAAGAACATGACTGACAACTAAAACAATGTCTCATTCTTTTGCATAGCCTAACCTGCCCTATAATCTGAGAAATTAATTTGACACTCTATTGTGTCTCAGTAGGTTCTAAGTAACATTTTGATGTTAAACATGCAGACTTTTTAGAGGATCTATATTTCATTAAGAGAATCAACATGTAGAGGGACACAACGTCAAGATATTATTCAGTTCCAGTTTTGGATGTGTTCATTGGATTGGGATCGTTAAAAAAATTTCTTGCTAGTCATTGATTGTGCCAGTGGGAGCAAATATAGAAGTCACTGGAAACTTAAAGACCTAAGTCATTACATTTTATATTTTTGAAGCTTTAGGCTGTAGCTTCATGGTGGCCTGTCTTTGCCTGCCAGTTTGGTTGCGAGTTGTCACTGTGCCTATCATCCCCTGCCCTCACCCCAGCCTGTGGATCAGCGTAGTGATTATAGTTCACAGTAATACTCTACAAACGCTAGATTTGGCCCAGTATGGAACAAGCAAATTAGAGCAAGGACACAGCAATAAGAATCCAGTGGGTTGACCAAGAGTAGTAACTCCTTGAGCTGCCAGCGCTGTCAAAGTCAAAATACTGTCACACTGTGGCTTTACACTTCTTGGCATTGAAAACTCCAGGTTGCTGGTGAAAAGAAAAAAAGAAAAAAAAGAAAAAAGCACAGAGCAACGATCACTGGCCTTCTGAATGTTTGACACATGTTCTGCAGATAAAGCAGCTAGTGAAATAGATCCATCTTAGTGACTTGTAAGAGATTTAAGTAGAACTAAACTTTTGGGATTATCCAATGATACAACTACCTGTAGAAATTTTATGATCTCATAATGTTAAATTACGTCTCACAATGTTAAGTACCAGTATAGGAGAACTCTCGGGAAAATAAACAAACCACATACAGTAAAAAGGGTTGGTGCTTCAGGGCAGGCACTTTTTCCATCGATCTAGGATTTTACAGTCATACAACTGCAGCTACCCTCTTTAAGCCGCCCTCCTTGCTTTTGGTCACTCAAGACTAAACACTAAAGTAAGACAGAACAGTATTCTACTCTGGAATTTTTTTTTTTTTTTGGAGTAACAAAATTTTGTCCAGTTAAACTACCTTGAAATATTGATTGGGTTCAGTGTTTTTTCCATTTCCTTATTGCTCAATAATTGCAATGCTAAGAAACTGATCTAAACCCTTTGCATTGTAGTGCAAGATCTACAAGAGAAACAGAATTAAACAGCTGCTTTGGGATACTGCCAGGGATCAGAAATTTATTGTGGAGGATGGAGTGATTTCTGTGCAGTTTTTACATTGTACACAATGTGGCTGGACTATTGCAGTGCTCTACACAGATCCCTTCCCCTACATACACACATACAGGAGAAAGTGCATGCCCTGAATAAGTAGACTGTGTTCATTTCATTTATTAACGCATTACAAAACTTAAGTCAAGATATAATTTTCTGCATTGTGCCATATGTGTGAGGTGCTTTAGAGGTATCTATGAAGGGTTAGATATAAAAGCCATAAATTAAGGCACTATCCACCAAGTTTTCCAGTTCAGAGCAATGATTCAGCTGCCAAGATCTGGGAACATAATGCTGTACTGATAAAGACGATGGTGATATATTCAAGGTCGAGGAAGATAATTAGCCAGAGGGAACTGCTGCAGCATTACGGTAGGAAAAAACATCTGCAGACTACGTTCCACAGAAGACAGCACTCCCTTCCACCACCATCCATCACATTCAGAGGAGACATGATTCCTTCTCAGCTAGGAACGCCTTTTTTTCTCCTATCAGTGATGCTATAGCTGTATCCTGCTATGGCCAACACCCTAAGGAGGGAATAGACATTTTTGAGGGTACAGATGATTACAAGAATAAGAGATGTAAAAAGGATAAAAGCAAGATTAAAGGGCTACACCTTCTAGAACAGAAAAGATAGGGCTAAGAAGAACATAAAAATACCTTTTAGCAATTAGGAGGAAAGTGATCAATTATCAATGTGAACTGGAGACAGAAGTAACACTCCTTGATTTTCAGCAAAGATTTGGCTGTTATATTACAAAAACTGTCTAGAAGGATAGTTGAGAACAGGAAGAGACATCTAGGGAATCTGTTTGTAGAGCTTAAAAACAGGTTGGAAAAATATTCCTTTTTTTTTTTTTTTTTTAAACCTGCCTCGATGAAGGTTGTATTAGAACATATTTGTAAGGCTGAAAGGAACAGAAGCAGAGAGTAAGAAATACAAAAGGTTTTAATCTAGTCTGGTTCTGAGGACAGTGATGAGATAATCAGAAATGCACTGAAACCTCTCAATTAGATCACCTTCTCTGTTGTCATTCTTTGTATTTTGTATTTTCGCTCAAGCAGACATGCAGCTGCTCCTCCAGGGAGGCAGCAGCAGGAGGGGGCTGAGCCCTGGAGTTAGCCCCATTTGGCACACTCCTTGGAGACCTAGGAGCAGAGGCCTCAGCTCAGGTACAGTACCAGAAGCTACTGTCACCTTGTGGTATCACTTACTAGTTCAAGAGCTGTTTTTGCACCTTCCTACTTTGGCTTCAGAGTTCCCATCTGGTCTTCCAGGTCTCCTTTTCAATTTTCCTAGCCAGGCCCCTTGTGCCTAGCATACAGTGTGGACTTAGCTTGGCTTTACAGAAGTAGAACAGATGGGGATTTCTTCAGTAAAAAAATCCCTTCCTAGGTATTCACACCAATCAGGTCTCCCTTTGCATTGACAGTAGCCCAAAGCAAGCATGGCCCAAAGCCAGTAAGATCAACAGAACCACAGCCTTAGACTGTTGTTTCACTGCATAATCAGGTTGGATGAGGAAGGGCAACTTCTTAATCTCAATCTAAATAAAATACGTGGCTAATACTAGTCCTTTACTAAGAGCCCGACATTTTGAACAGGTGTAGTCACAGAAATTTCCATTACAGTATCACCTGTAGATCTAGGATTTAACATTACAATTTGGCATGATACTCTGGGATGCTGGGAAACTTTCCCAGCTGTTTCCATTCTGTGCTCCACCCTAGTCATAGACAGTCTAGGGAGGGACTGTGCTCCTTCCCATTTGTACACAGGAAATGCAACAATGTGTGTTGGCAGCATTGCTATTTTATTTCCCCTGCTGAATTTACCCACCTGATATTGGCCTTATTTTATTTAATATACTCATTCTTGAAAACTCAGTACTGCAGGTAATCCAAACAGTTTAAGAGACATTATGTAGACACCAAGTGTTTACTAGTCATATCTCTGCTTGAGGGAAGTAAGTGCCACAGTAAGGCTGGAAACCACGCCAAGCAAAGGGGAGCTTTTTCCTGAACGAGCACTCAGGAAACTAAGGCTGTCAAAGCCTCCAGTCTTTCAAGAAGAAAGTTTAATCAGGAAAGATGCTAGTATCAGGAAAGACAAGCCAATGCAGATACCCCCTTCACCTTCTTTCTTA